CTAATGAAAAGCTAAGTGAACTTCTTTACAACACCTGCATATACCTTAATGGCATGTAGTAGTCATTGAAAGTAGTCATAATCCTGGGTTTATATGTTGAAAACACATGCAGATTTTCTCTAAACCCGTAGTTTAAGCCTGCAATGACTTCAAAACCTCAAAAGGAGAACAAACAAATTTCAAGTTTCCATTTATTCAGTTTACATGTTCGTTAGTGAGGTAAAATTGAGTCACACATTCATACAACAACAAGTTAAGGAAATTTTCACAGCTAATTAAGGTTAGCCTACCTGAAACAATCACCTTCAAGTACAAATTAGACCAGGTTTGTACAGATGATGCCCAAAAGAACTATCTGTGATAAGAGGGCAGGCTTTCCTTTCTTCATTTAAAGAAATACTGAGGTTATCATCTTTCCACAAGCTCAGTGGAAATTGAGAGTGAATGAGACTGTTAGTGACTATGTTATTTGGATAAATATCCAAAGGAGGATAAAAAGTAAGATATGGTCTGCACAACTCTCTTATTTTAATTTTTTTTAACCTATTAAGCTAAGGTATGTACATTCATGCTTGTGCAATCAATTTAACTTTTGTGCATCAAAATAAAAAGAAAAATGTTCTCTTCATCTATGTGCCCTAAACATTGCAGGGGAGGAGGCAGGTCAAAGTAAGAACGAATTAAATCAGGAGGGCCCCTATTAATTCCAGTCCTAATTAAAGGAGGATCCTTGCTTTTCCAGATTCCCACCCTTTAAAGCTCACATATCTTGTGACCGTTTCCAGATATCAATGTTTAGTTTGGGTGTGAACATTGGTAAGAAACATCATGCATTAATAAAAGTTTGAGCAAAAGTATTTAATGCAGTCTGAATAATAATATTACATGTTACAATGCAATAACTTACACAGCAAAATTGTATAATCACACAATTCCAAACAAAGGAAGTCAGGTTATTGACTCACCTGCTTCAACTTTTGAGGGCTTAAGGTACAGAGAAATAGATATGGTAAACAGTTACAATTAATACAAAGTTGAAAGTTTGAAAGCTAAAAGATATACTTTACAATCATCAGACCCTATGCATCCTAGCAAAAAAAAGGTCAATTGCCACCATAACTCCACCCAAATGTTCATGCTTACAGGAAATCATTTATTTTTGTTACTAGGTGGTACTGTGCTTAAAATACTTCTGCTGACACAAGTACATTTTTTTAAAGTTATCTCATAGCATATGACTGTACAGGTCATGTGGAAGGTTCCTGCATGGAGACTGACATTTCAATTACCCCAGCAAACTTTAATCATCAGAACTGCAAGCTGAGGTGTATTTACCAAGTGCTTACTGAGATTTAAATTAGTCACCTGATTGTTACAGTGGAGTTCACTCCTTATTGAAGCTATGATTCTTCAGCTTGGTCATCCTGTTACATGTGAAAAAACCAAACATTTCTCACATATTCATATTATTATCTATTGTAAGTGAAAAGTTATATTTTTAATAACCTGCTTCCTTTAACCCTTTAACTCCCATGTGTGACCAAGACAGAAGTTCTCCTTACAATATCAATACAGTATCAAGCAGACAAGTGATGAGAATAAATAAAAATTTTAATTGGGGAATTATTAGTTGACCCAATACTAAATTCTCAAAACTAACATCACAAGAACTATATGACAGACAGTAAGGAGAATTATGAATTAGATCTTGGGAGTTAGAGGGTTGATTGTGCTCCAGAAATAGTAAATGGTATCGAAGAGAAAGAAAAAAGTTCTTGAAACATTCTATGTTAAATAAAACTTTGTTATGAATGTTAACCCTTTAACTTCCATGAGTGACCAAGACAATATCAATACAATATCAAACAGATAAGTGATGAGAATAAAGACAAATATCAATTTGGGGATAATTAGTTGATCCAATACTTAATTCTCTGAACTAACATCTTAAGAATTGTGTGGTTTGCAGTAAGGAGATATATACAAATTACAAATTTGATCTGGGAGTTAAAGGGTTAATTGGGATGGCAATCCAAACATCTGTAAACTATAATATTTAACAATTACCTTTCTATGTAAACAAACCATAACGAAGCATGATACAAGTTAATTTCATCTCACCCAGTTTGAATGTAGAATCCAAAATCTTATTAACTGACTGGGGAATAGGAAGAAGCTCAATGTGTTTTTCCTGCTTCTGTCATTCTACATATCACAAATCAATCACACCATCACTTCAGTATGATTTTTTTATGGTGTGTACTTTTCTTATGAACATTTATTCTTAGTATCTATCTTTTACCAGCTGACATCTTAGAAGGAGCAAGTCCACACTGGTAATATGACACATTGCAGGCAAACCCTACAACTGATTAAATTTTATTTGAATAAAAAACATGAAGGGCAATAGAGGAAATTACCTCGCATAATCCAAGTTTCCCTCCTTAAGTATTCTGTGATGTTTCCTCTATCATATGGTAAACTGAGTTTACAGTTTACCTCATTTTATTGTCTTCTGTTCATTTGTTTTTTTGCTTTCCTAACAACATTAACTATTGTTGCCAACAAATGCGAGGAGCATATAAAATGTATACAGCTATTACGGTAACACCTTAATCCCTGAGAGTGACTAGTATCTAATTTCTCTTTTCAATATCATCCTTGAATCAAATAATGAGGTCATGAGAGTAAAGGAAATGATAATCAACTGAAGAACCTCTTGATTGTTGAACAAATTCTTCTTTCCAGCATATTAGGAAATGTAAAGAGAACAGTACGGAGAATATGCATACTGATGTTAGGGTGTAAATTAGGTTAAAGACAACATGTAATCAGTTTTATATATGTAGAGTATTCCTTGAACATATAATTGTGGTAGGTACAAATGCCTACTAAACATCATTCTATGGTCTTCTACTCTTCCATCCTGGAGGGTGCCAAGTGTACATAAGAATTGAAGTTAAGTGCTTTTAGTAGCTCTTTTGGCTACATAGATCAACAAGGAACAGCAGCCACACCAAAAAAAATTTTTGAAGACACCTCTACAGTGGTAGGTATGCACAACTGACATGTTTGAGTGAAGCATGTCATGTTGAAGCATGTTCACGTTCCGCACAAGTGATCAGAAGCAAAATTTAGAAAAACAGCTTTCTCTGAATTAGTAAGAATTAGTCACAGACAACATATACCTCTAAAGTTTTTTTCAATATCTGCTTTTACTTTGTGCACGGGATCTCAGTATGTCATACCTGACATATAATGTGATACTTCGCCTTATTTATAAAGTTTTCACTTCGCCGGAGCGACTTTCGGTCCGCATGAATTTATTACGAATTTAAAACATTTGTCTCACAGTACTTCTGTAATTTTATTTGCCGAAGAATCTTCACTTCGGGCAAATGAAACACAGATTTCACTAGCCCGATCGCAAAATCCATTAGCCCCGGGATATCGGACACGACTTTCTTTGCACGCTGACTTTTAAATGTTATTCGAGCGACGAACCGGTGCGAGGGTTTTTAGGCGATGAATATCAAAGTCATTGTTTTACCGACACATGATTTTAATTTTAAACTGAAGCTAGTATCGAACGACGATTGGTAAAAAAGGTTTGAATTTTTCTGGGCCTTAGCGTGAGAGAAAACCCAGATAAGACACGACTTACCTCATCTTCTTTCTCGGATCCTTTGTATTTCGCTTCTCTTTATTGGTGACCTCTTTTCAGTCTGTTTTCAGGAGCGTCTTTGTATTTCTTTCTCGCGTTGCCGGCTCTTCGCTAGATATTCGCCTTTTTACTTATGCCTTTTCTTGTTCTCTTTCGCGTTCCTCTCGCCGTATTCTGCCTATTTTGGTGTCCTCTCTAACTTTCTTGCGCGTTTTTCTTGACTCGATTTACACCTTTTAATTCTTGCTTTTTTCGGTCGCTGTCTCTTTCTCATCAGCCTATTTTCACTCAAAACCCACTTACCACGAACTTGAATTATAACAATTTCCTCCCGTTGACTAAGCTTTAGCTCTGCTGGTATTGTTGCTTTGCGAGTTGGTTAGAAATTGCAAAAAAACTGATAATTACTATGCAACTACAACCTAAGATAAAGTTTCAGACTTTCGGGTTTATGGTTGTTTGGTTATGACTTTTCCACCAAATGTTAATGGCGATGTTTGTATATTACTTCCGAACATGGCGTTTCTAACGCGATTGCAAGCCGGGGTGTTTCATCAGAGTTCACCTCCGCCCATAAACGTATTAAAGACTAGCACTGATATGCATTTACCTTTCACCGTTGTAAAGGAAAATAGCAAACCTTGCGAGGAGATCGGCTCTGTCCAAATCAACTTCTTAAAGTTGCGTAATCAACAGGAAAGAGGAAGAGTTCCTGCGGCATAAGCAATTTTACTGCGTGATAAGCACATTTCTTTTGGTAAACCAATCATATCTTTCCTCAGATGGGACTTTCCCTTGAAGAAATTGCGGGCTTGTGATTGATTTATTTCAGTGGGTTGACTCGCCCTGACAAAAAAAAAAAGGTGAAATTATCATTACAATAGCTTCGCGAACAGCTGGTTTTTAAAAGAAGAGAAATTCATCATGTATTCATGGCATTTTACCCACGCAGCCCAGTTTGTTTCGCGCTGGTTTTGCAGACCAAGGTGAAATTATCAGTACAATAGCTTTGCACGGACTCTTGGCTTCCTGGTAAATTTCTCAGCCGCTTTATGCAAAGCAGAAATGCAAATCACCAAGTTCTTGCCTTTGGGATGAATATATTTCTTATTCACAACTCTCTATTAATTACCCAGGCAAGAAGCCTGGGTTGAAATTTCGCCTTTCTTTTTTTCTCGTTCAGTCGCGAATCGCTATTCGGGCTCTTGAGCGCATGCGTCAGTCACACTTGACAATTTTGACAATTTCTTTTAAGTTAAAAGGGCGCTCGAACCGACACAGCGGCAAAATGACTGCGCATGCTCGGCTGATTATGCGCTTTCGAGGAGCGATTAGTGATTCCAGCTGGTTGAAGTTTGCTGAAGAACGAACAGAACATCGTTTTACACTTTTTGGGACTGATATTGATGTGATCCGACCGGAAATTTTTTTAATGGAGTTTGTTCTTATGGAAAAATCTGAAGGGTAAGTAGAATTTTTCTAGACATTGTTCAACTAAAGCTGATTTAGATTTATCCAGACAGCTCGTTGCGTGTTCCCGTTCCTTTCAGCAATTTTATTTACAGAAAGCATTTCATCAACGTTATTTGTTCATTACATGCTTTAAACTTGAAAACCTTTTTGATGTAAACTCTTGTGGTAGGAAAAGCTGTTTTACAATCGAAATTAGTCTTGAATCTGTCGGTCTTTTTGCTTAAGTGAACGTTCTTTTGATCGACACAAGCTCAATGTAACAGTGTACTAAGCAATACCGCCCTATTGCTTCCCCCAACACAACGTAAATATAATAAATGTAATAACATTTATACTTGACACATATCTTAACCTTCTTTGCGTCTGGAAATATGTCGATATAACTTTTCGATCAACTGCCGTTGTTTGACGTTTACATGCATCTCTTACCACACAGTGTTACCTGAAGTTGATGAAAGTAACCGTACATAAATTCACCGTCGCAGATAGCTTTGACTTCAGCCAGTGTAATAGTGCTTCAATGTCACTGCGTTGAGACTGCAAGTAAGGTGCCTTTTGGTAAGTGGAGGTGGCTATCCATTAAGATGATGTTGTCATTTGCATGACTTTATCTATGAAATCGTTAAACCATTAATTATCGTAAAAGCAGCATTTGTGTTGGTAAGTCTTTTACTAGGTGGAAACTCAGAGCAGATTCCTCACTTGAATTAGTCTCCTTCACAAAACAAACAGTTAACTCCTTTTCTTAACTTAAACTAACCAGGCTGCTTCTGACTAGAGGTATGGCTTCAACAACACCAAGATATGATAGTGACTGCATGAAACTGTCATATACCTGACTTCCCCCCATTATACATGACATCCAGCTTGGAGTCAGTGGTTGGTGGTTTCTCAGTTGAAGGAAGGATTTTTTTGTTAAGTATGTCTTTGCTAACAACAAAGAAATAACTGTACAAGCATTGCTGCCTTGACAACCCCCAATTGTTGACCAAGATAGGAAGGCTGGCAGTTCCCAGAATGTGACTGATTGTGTTGTTGATGGAACATGTATTGAAGTGGATTGTGGTGGTACACTTAAGTTAGAAAACTGTTGTTGAGCTACTGATGGTGTTGTTGTTGAGATTGATTGTGTGATTGTAAAAGGTAAGGACGGCTAAGGTGAGAACCTCAAGATCTTTGGTGGCAAAGTTACCCACAGTTGAAAAGTAGTTTTGGGGTGAATTTACAACTGAAGCAGGCCTTTTTGTGCTATGCCCTCTTTCTTGAGTTGTCCTGTGTGGAACACTTGGTTGTGGTATAATTAGCTGTTCCATACTTCTAGTTATCATATTTCCCCTGTCATGGGACTTGTAAAAGTCTGAATACCTAGAGGCATGTATTGCTAGCTGGCTTTTGGGCTGTTCATGACTATTGTGGCTGTCTGCAATGTTGCTACTTGTATCATGCTCTATAATACCTTTATTGAAGGAATCACCAACCCATTTACTCTTGTTAGAAAAGGATCATTTCTCCATCAACTGGATGGGCAACTGCTATGGCTGCGAGACTTGATGCCATATGAATTGCCACATTAGCTTTATCAGTTGGTTTAGTAGGTATATTCATAACATGAAAGTCATCAATAAGATGGATAACAAGTTTTTTGGTCTTAAAAAAAAATTTATATCCATTTCATTGATTGCTTATGTTTTTACAAAAGTGTTTATGTTTATTGTTCATTCTATTTGTTCTGCTTTATCCTGCAGGCTGTCAGCACAGTTTTTTCCACAACTTCCTCATGGTTGTTTTGCCTGCTGCTGTTTAAACATGTCATTCATACATATTCCACTGCTAAGGTCCAAGACTCTCCCTGCAGTCTGTGCAGACCTGGTTAACCCATGAATATCAAGGAACATTTCAGCTTATTTCTGGAGCTGTGATGTTTTCTGAGATCTAAGGGAAATTGCATATTATCATGTTATCATACTCAAGAACAAAGGTTGTTTTTTACTAGTGACTGCTGACACTGTCAGAATAAAGCTGACATGGAAATTTTGTAAATTATATAAAATGTAATAATTTTTTATTTTTCTAATGGCAAAACTTTAGGCAGGTAGGCAACTTGTGAAGTAGTACAACTATTCTTTGCTGCTGTGAATGTGAATGCCTCTAACTGGTGGCATGTCTATCTGCACTCACTATTGTACTGATGAGGATGTAAAAGAGATGTGGTGTACAAGTCTCACAAAGTGCCTGCATATCATCAGATCTCTATAGAGATTGACCCGCACTTTCATAGTGCCTGTGCAAGGCTGACTGAAATTTTTCCACCAGCTCTGCAAGATTATATAGAAAATGCAATAATAATGTATTTGACCACTCTGTAAGTTATATAGAAATATTTTCAACAATGAACGTGTGTTTACTTGTTAAATATGAGCTTAGTGCAGAACCTTTATCAGTGTTTTATTATTACCTGATCGATGTTGTCATGGAGATGTTTAACCCTGCAGGTGCAATGATCACTTTCTGAAGGAGCTTAGAAACCAGGCTCAACTCAGTAGCCAAGCCTACTGAATTTGTGCCCAAGCCTTTTCTTGCTTGCGTGACCTTTTTTGTCACACTAGAGAATTCAAGGAACTTCGGCGAGTAGTAAACACAAGCTCAAATTTTTAAAGCAGTAAAGAGGAAAACTTTTTGAGACTGAAAGGTAAGTAAGTAAGTTTTTTAGTGTTTTACAACCTAAATTTAGTGTTTCCTTTTGTAATTTTACAACGTACAGTAAATTGTCAAATCAATAACTCGAAAAGCTTACAGCTAAAATTTAACTCTATATTAATAACCTTATACTTTCTTGATCTGATATCTCAATTAGCGATAACACCAGAAATAATTTGCTTTTGTGGTATATACTATATGTTTACCTAACTTGTTGAAGTACGTTGTCATGAAATAATGCACTTAGCAACAATTAATCTGATTACACAAAACTGAGTCAATGTTTAAATTGTTCCCTGGACTGCCTGGACTGCCTGGACATCTGAGACAACTGATAATGCATTTTGGGAGTGGTAGGGATGCTTACTTCATAGTGGCTATGGCTGTACCTGTCCTTTAATTTGCCTTGTTGTTTGTAATAGATTTTCCTTGCATTGTCTGTTATTTTTTTTCAGGAAATTTTAGTCTGCAAGAAGAAAATTCTTTTACAGAAGAATCCTTTTCCTGTAACGTTTACAACTGTTGCTTACGTTTGCCATATTTCTGATATTTTTATCATAACAGAATTTTTCACAAAAATTATTTGACATTGAATTCTTATACAAATACTGCAAGGTCGAGCCTGCCCACCAACCCATCAAGGTGGTGTTGAAAACTGCAGCAAGGTCTATTGAATATAGTTAAATTACTGAATTTCACTCCATGACTTACTACTACAGAATATGGGGCTTTTTATGATTAGGTACCAAACAAAAAAAAATGCTTTCTTGGCTTATTTGCATCAAGCCACCTAATATAATTCACAAAGATTATTTGACATTGGATTCTCGTACAAATACTGCAAGGTCATGCCTACCCACCAACCCATTAAGGTGGTGTTGAAAACTGCAGTAAGGTCTATCGAATATAGTTAGAGTACTGAATTTCACTTTATGACTTATAATTACAGAATATGGGGCTTTTTTATGATTAGGTACAAAACAAAACAAAAAAAAAAGCTTTCTTGGCTCATTTGGATCAAGCCACCCAATATAATGCAATCAATGTCTTGTTTTCTGTATCGTGAGTCATTGCTCAGTTGGAATTGATATTTAAATCTTAATTATAATCATTTAAATCCAACTGAATGTATTTCTTTCATTACTTTTCCACTGACTGCCAAACCAGCAAGCCTTGAGGCATTAAACTGTGAGGACTTTAAAAAAGGCCCTATATTGTTTACATGTAGCTGCTTTGGGGGAGGGGAGTGGTAAAGTTTCAAATTTGGTTAAGAGTATGTAACACAATAATAATAATGATAATAATGTTAATAATAATAATAATAATAATAATTCATTTTTTCCATCCTTTGTTGCAAACGCATCTGACCCAGAGCCATTATTGGAACATACCAGAATAGCCTTTTTGTTAATGAAAGGCCTCAGTGGTGCACAGATATGATATGAAAATAATTTTCTCTTGTGTGAGGCATCAGTCAATTTAGGAATTACCAAGTGTAAAATTTCAAGTCAATATGGTCCAGAAACTACTCATTTTTGTAGAGGGTGGAGCAGGGAGGGGTGGAGGGGTCGAAATTATTAGGTTTGCGTACCGTTTTCACTCTTTGCACCCTGAACACTCAGTCACGCACACTTCAGATGGATGCTCAACACAACAGCGTCAAAAAATAATCAAGCAAATAACTAAGACGTGCAGAGCTTCCACGGTGAATATAAATTTACCGCTATAAACAGTGAAAAGGCCTTACAGATTTTACACGTAGCTTCTTTGAAGGTACAACTTCCTATGACGTTCTAACAAGATTATCAAGTTGTCAAATACGTATTTTCATATGATTGATACCAATTGCTTTATTAAGTCGAAATATGCTTAATGTCAAGAATAAATAAGCGGATTACTACACTTACGACGAATTTTGTGGTCCGTTAAAAAAAGTACTTGGTTCAATTACGTAGTTCACCGAAAGGTTAATTTTGTTTGCCTGCTAGGATTTCTTTTAACATTGAATACATTTTCAAGACCTGTACTCGACGAGGTGCACTTCTTGCGATTGTTCTGCAATCTAGCGAGTCCTTCGGAAAAACGTCACCGAGAGCAGAGCTAAGACACTATTCAGAAGCAAGTATTTTCTAGGTTTGAAATTCCCTTCGGTTCCATTTGACCGTGAGTAGAGTTTAGAATTCACGAAGAAAGCGTATTTTAGCCAAAGGCAGAAGACTCGTATTTGAACGGAGCGCAGCGAGATAAGGTAATATTCTTTCACGCGAAAATTTAAAAAGAAAATAGGGTTAATAGATAACTTCTCATTTGTTTTTTCTCGCGCAAGTAACAAAAATGTTCCCTTCCCTGTCCCCATCCAATCGCACTTCAACCAGTCGGGGGAGGTGAGTATAGAATTGTTAACAAATCATCAGAAGGCTTGGTTACCTGATTGAGCCCGGTGTCTAAGCTCCTTCAGAAAGTGATCCCAAAAAAACAATTTGGCCTCTATTAAAAGTAAAAGAATTAAACTAAGGATGAAACTAAACCACAGCATACCTATACTAAACCATAGTATACCTATACAAAACCCTCAGCCTATTTGTATCAATATTACTATTCTTTTTGGTGTTTACCCAATAGATTCAATCCACTTACAGACAAAGATGGTGCCTGAACATTTTACCATTATTCTTAGGGTAAGGCACATGTAGAAAGTAATATTTCACAAAACAACAACATTATGTATGCAAGGTTTAAATTTTTCAGACCTTTTCTGCTTGATTTTATGAGTGGTTCTAGGATTTTCTTGTGCGAAGAGTTCTGGGTGAATGTACCAGTTGCCATGTTTTTTAGTATAGTGGTTTACAGTAACTGTTGTATGAAGTAACCTTCACTGATATTAATTTTGTGAACTTGTCACTGACAAAGAGCTAATTTGTGATTAGACATTCATCATTTCATTGATTGCCTGGCTCTACATTCATCATTGAAGTACCAATTAATTCCTTCACCATCAGTAAATATTGCACTAAATATACTGTGTTAGAAATCACAGCACCGTGCCCCAAAATCTAATGTTGTCCTGAGCACAATTTCATATTTTTGAACAAAGCAAGGTAAAAATCAAACAAGAACACACAGACATCATCTACAAGACAGCATTGCTATATATAATGTTTATATAGTTGGTTATGTAAAAGCTACTCAAATCATTAAATCAGTGTCAGTACTCTCCCTTGTAGCAGCTATAATTTTCAGCCGACTTGGGAAATAGTGGCCTAAAATGGACCCTTTTGGACATCCAAACTTCTAAATTTCTAGGCAAAGGTTCCCCAGACCTTGTCATCTAACTGGGAACAAATGGCTGCCACACTGTCATTTTGATCCCTCCCAGCTGCTTAAATGTTGTTCCTCCTTTCCACAATCTTGCCAAAGCCCCCATATGTGTAGTGAATTATAAAATCATTGAAGAGAAGTGTGCAATCTCAGCAAGAGATGATAATCATGAACACTTTTAAGTGAGTCATCGTAGTGGATGTTTGGTGAGGTATTGCATTCCATGCTCAAAATCTTGTACACACAGACAGGTTAATTGCTCCAAGCTCTAATTCGATACTACTGTTCATTTGGTTATCTATCTTGCCAATACTCTTTCTGGATATGTGGGTTTTTATGGAAACTCTTCCCGTTGAGAAGAAGCATGTATGTGTTTGCAAATTGATAGCAGAGAAAAGAAAAAAAAAAAAGCAACAGGGAAGGAACAGGATGGTACAAAAAACAGTGGTACAATTTTTTTTTGCAGAAGGGTAGTTTTTTATTTTTGTTTTGGGGTTCTAGCCTAAGTATGTGTAAGTTTCTACACTTGTTTAGTCTTGTGATTTGTTGCTGTAAGAAGTGAGGTAAAATTGTTTGAATTTTTTTTTTCATTACAGCCACTTAAGTCTGTAAATGGAAATAAAGCATAGGAAATGATGGTAGGGAACACATTGCTTGCACTATAAAGTACTGAAAGTAATTTGCAACTCTTGATATTTGTTATTTATAGCTGACATGCTTTGCAGAGGTATTTTGTGATTAGTGGAGAAGTTAACTGGATTTCAAAAATTACATCACTTCAAATTGCAGTGAAAGCTATTACTTTTATAGTTATAAAAGTATCAATGGTAACCCCTCTGAGAACCTTCCCAAGTGTCTGTGTTATAGAGGTGTCCACTACATATGGGTCAATTTACAAGGAAATGTAGGAAAAATACTATGCAACTGAATGATGCATGTTTCAGCCAGGTGAGGGTTCTTGCTTTTTTACTGTGGTGCTAATGGTGTCTCAGTCAATTGCCAACTTAGTATTTAAGCAGTAGTTGTGCTTTTTGATTATTTGACTTTCCTTAAATGGTTTTTTTTTCAGTGGAACTAAAAGAAAAAGTTTGCAAGGCCATGTTTAAAAAAAAAATGACAGGAAGGCCTTAAAAGCTTACCTAGATCTTTATTGAGATGGAGGGTTATTTCACTGGCATTTACATGTAAAGATAGGTTGCCAGAGCTACTTACCAGGAGTAGATTTATAAGCTGAAAATATTACATTTGAGCTTAAATTTTTCACAGACATTATTCAGGCATGATGGAAGTTTAAACACACATTCTTGGCTCATTCATAAGTGATGCTATATACTCCACAGGTGTCAAATTTATTGAAATTTGTGTTCAGAATTACTGTT